AAAAAAAAAAAAAAAAAAAAAACACATCTTAGTAAAACCAATACCTTCTCAGCTTCGCATCGAGGCTAAAAGTATACTTTAGTGCATACTAAAATTAAATAAATTTTTTTACAAAAGTCAAATTTTAACGAACAAAATTATAAGTCTTCTTTTTCGTCGTCTTCTTCTTCCTCGTCTTAATCCCCATTACTTGATGTCGGCCACCCTTATCCTAAACTTTTACTTGACATTATCTCCCACATCTACGATCACATCAGCTCTCCTCATATCGGATTCGATAACATCTCTCCATCTCTTTTTTGGTCTTCCTCTACCTCTTCCTTCAACATTCGTTTCTACAACTGTTTTTACAATTTCCAATTCTTCTCTCCTCATAATATGAGAAAACCATCTAAGTCTATTTTCTCTCATATTAGATAGATATTACACCTATACTCCCTCTTATATGTTCGTTCCTTATCCTATCTTCACTAGTCATTCCAATCATCCATCTAAGCATTATCATCTCTGCTACACTCATTTTCTGTTCTACTTTCTTGTCAACCGCCCAACACTCTGAACCATACATCATAGATGGCCTCACAATAGTCTTGTAGAATTTACTTTTCAGCCTCATTGAAATTTTTTTATCGCACAAGACGCCAGACGCTCTCTCCACTTCAACCACCCGCACTTAAATCTGTGTCTTACATTCTCGTCAATACCACCGCTCTTTTGCACAACTGACCCTAAATACTTTAAATTTTCCACCTCTCCAATCACGTTCTCACCTATTGTCACTGATCTCCTCATTTCACCTATCTCGTGATCTCCTCTGTCAAACTCGTACTTTATATACTCTGTCTTACTTTTATTAACACTATTTCGTCAGCAAACAACATGCATCACGAAACCTCTCCTTGTATTTCTCTAGTAATTTCATCCATCACTATAGAGAATAAGTAAGGGATTAAAGCAGAACCTTGGTGCACTCCTATTCTTACCCGAAAACCTTCTGTTACTCTTCCTACGCTTATTACCCTAGTAAAAGTGCCATCACACATGTCTTCTATTATATTAATGTACCTTTTTGGAATTCCTTTTTTCATTAATGAGGTTTTGAAGTGATCATTAATGACCACTTTAAAACCTCTCTCGATAATCTCTCGATACTCTATCATACGCTTTCTTCAAATCTATAAATACCACACAAACCTTTTTTTATTAACCCTAAACTTTTCTATTAGTTGCCTCACACAAAATAATGGCTCCAATGTTGACTTAACAGGCATAAATCCAAACTGGTTTTTAGATACCGATGTCTCATTTCTTGTTCTCTTATCTATTACCTTTTCTCAAATTTTCATACTAAAATTCATAAGCTTTATGCCTCTATAATTTCCACACTCCTGTATGTCACCTTTACCTTTAAATATCGGCACCGTTTTTTCCAAACATTCATTTGGAATTTTCTCTTCTAATAAGATTTTATTTAAAAGTTCCTTCAACCACCTTGTGCCAACACCGCTTAATATTTTCCATACTTCTACTGGCACTTCATCTGGTCCCACTGCTTTATTCTTTTGCATTGATGCCACAGCCTCCGATACCTCTTTCTCACTAATTAAATCTACCAGTCCCTCATTCCACGAGATATCATCTAATGTCTCTTTTGGGTACTAATCATTCAGTTATTTTTCATAATACTCTTTCCATCTTTTTTTCACATCATCATTATTCGAGAGTACCTTATTATCAACATTTTTTATACAACTTTTATCATATTCTCACCTCTCATTTACCTACATGTCTATTCATATCTCCACCTATCACAGCATTTTCATTGCCAAGTACCCCTTGCATGCATCATTTCATCAATCTCTCACCAAAACAATTCCTTGTCTATTTCATCACATCCTACTTGTGGTGCATAGGCACTTATTATATTCAGCTCTTTTTCCTTGAATATCAATTCACATACAGCCAACTACACTTGTTTGGTTGAAAGAGTACAACGTAGGTTTTTGCGATTTGCTGGTTTTGTATTAGATATTCCTCATCCCCAACATGAATACTCACTTATTGCCGAATACCTTAATCTTCTCTCACTTGCTGATCGCCGAAAGGCCCTAGGTACTAAATTCTTAAAAAATTTGCTTGATGGTAAAGTTGATTCTCCATCTCTTTTAGCGCTAATTAATTTTAAAGTTCCTCAGAGAAAATCCAGAAATCACGCTCCCTTCTTTATACCTATCTGTTTTTCATATTATATTTCTAATGAGCCAATTAAACGTCTAATGAAAAATGCCAATGAAGACCCTTTTTTCAATTTTAATTATACATTTATTTTATATACTTGGTTAAATGTTTGTTTTTCATTTTTTTTTTTTTGTTTCATTTTCTGTAACTATATTTTTGTATAATAAGGGTCACTCCCGTTTAATAAATAAATAAACAACATTGATCACCTTATGATAAGTTAGGTTACACATCGACACTTTTTCTGTGGAGTTTTCCGCGTTTCTTCTACACAAAGTATATCGCAGTCATTCTCAACACATAGGATAGCTTGAAGCTCTCCCTTATATGTTGAAAATCCATCAATAATTTGCGATAGTATAGTTAGAGCAGGTGTTGGTTCTAAAAAGGACCGTTTTAGTAGTATTGGCATATTTTGCACTGGTGTTGGTAAGATTAGTATGTTAATCTGCTATGAATTATAATCAACAAGGCGTAGTACTTAGGTTTTTTTTTGTTCAAAATATTTATACCTAAACTATACTAATGCTAATCTAATCAAAAATTTTTAGTAAAGCGTTCAAGGAATAACGCTATAATAATTTTTAAAAAATCATAACTTTTTTGATTTGATGTAGCAGACTCCAGTTTTCACTGATATCTTTTATATTTTACAAAACATAAAAATTTCAAAAATATATCTCACAGCCCAAGTAAATAATACTATCCCGAGACTGAGATAATAATTAAAAATGTAAAAAATAACTAATACATTTTCGCAGTATTAGCAATTACAAAAATACTAGTGAAAACTAGAACCTACTAAGTTAAATTAATAAAAAGTTATGATTTTTTGAAAATTACAATATCGTTTTTCCTTGTGTACTTTACTACACACTAACTTTGGAACTAGTCGATCGAAAATTAAAAATGTTTGTTGAATACACGTGGTGATATATTTAGGGTAAAACAATCATTTTTTCGGAAACATAGAAATATATTTTATTTTTGAAAAGAGAAAAATCATTCGGTTTAAAACATTCTACAAAAATATGTATTAAAATAAATTTTTTTCATCCCTTCCATTATAAAAACCTTAACTTTATTATTATTCATGGAAAATAAATCGCGTACTGTTACTAATAAATAATATAATAAGTGTTCACTCCCGTACTTTACATAATATGGACTAACAAATTGATACCACAGGGAAATTGTAAAAAAAAATCAAAATTTTACAAACATCAATATGTTGTATAGATATAACTACTGAATTAAAATAAGAGTNATATGTTGTATAGATGTAACTACTGAATTAAAATAAGAGTTTTTGATAATAAACCAGGGAGTAGAAATATTAGGGGATATTAAACGGTATATAAATAATTTAAATAAAAATTTAATTATATTAGAGCTAATTATATATTTTTTTATAATATAGTCAAATATTAAAAAAAAAATTTTAACTAATCAAGTTTTGGCTTAATTTAAATATGTAAAATTCTTCAACATAAAATAAACTTAATACACAATAAAACACCCAAAAGCTTCAAAATACATTTTTTTTTTCAATCAACTCATTTCGAATGTGTTTTTTTTGTTAAAATTGAAATTATTGAATATGATACACGCATCGCCTAAAATCAATTATGAATTATGAATTAATAATTATCATTATTTTTATATATATTTTACAGAATCATCAACTTAGTCTCATTCTCAACTATATGATCCACTGTATCCCACCACGCCCTAATATATATTTATTACTATATTAATCAAGTCACACACTTTCTAAGGAGTATTTTATATTGAAGTAAAATAACAAACCACAATTTCAGTGTTTTGTCTAAAACTTACCGAGGCAAATACTTCTAGATTCAATAATTTTTGTGGAGTAATATCCATTTTTAATTTGTTTGTGTTATTTAAGCTCATGACCAATAAGAGCATTTTTTGAAATTGTATACTTTTCTCGGTCCAATCAATATTATACAAAGCAAACTGTACTTCATTGATCTATAAAATCGTGTAAAATATAAATTTTGTAAATCTTACAAATCTGTAGATAGTGTTTAATTCTAAGAAATTGGTAGATTATTACAATAGCAAAATTAACTCCTATTTACTTAATTATATCCTGATATGTAGTTCTCAAATTCAAAAGTATAACATATTATAGCAATTGAATATAGCATGATATTGATATTTAATAATTTATTATTGTAATTTTTTCGGTGAATTTTTAAAAAATTATAAAGTAGTTATTACTTTTAAACGTGTATAAAAATTGAAGGCACAATACAATACTTAATAAAACAAATTTCTTTTTACTTATAAATAATTACACTGGTCTAGAAAGAACTTTCATGAGAATCAAAAATATACTTTTCTAAATCAACTTTCCGCAATGCTTTTCAAATATTAAATTAGACTTTTTCTATCACTTCTATGTTTTGATATTATTAAAAATTATTAAAAAATGAGTATTTACATATAAAAAAAAATTGTTTTCAAATTATTACTGATTTTGATTTTTAATATGATAAAAATCATCAATGCAAAATATCATTTTAACCAATTTTTTTGGTCCTTTAATTGTTTTTTGTGAATGTTTATTATAAAAAAAATGAATTTATTACCATTACTTTTGGCTCAACTTGCAAGTTTGAAATTGATATTATTAATTACAAAATTTTATGAGAATTAAAAAAATGGTACTGTTAATATTAATGATTTACTTATATAGTTCATTAACTAAAAAAACCAATCGAAAATTTGTTTAAAAAAATCTACTCAATTGAGCATATTATAAAATTTGATTAGTAAAAATAAATATTTGATAATAAAAATTTATAGTTTAATTCAGGTGAAACTAAAAATCATTTTTTTTAGAAATGATTTATATAGAAACATGATTTTTATGACATCTATATTTGCAGATTCACAAAATTTATTATCAAAGGTAATCAGACACATTACAAAAATTCAGAAAGTAATTAGTAATACAGAAAATATATCTATTGATAGTCATAATTGACAATAATCACTCCGCGACTGTGACAACGACGTTGACGATAAAAAAATCACATTGTATAATATATTGTTGGATGAAATTGGTTATACAATTAAAATATTTAGAAATTATTCGTAATATAATAGTCTATAATATAAAATATCAAAATTTATAATATAAGAGATGTACAACGGAAATGGGTCGCTTAAAATAAGTGAAAATACATTGTATACTGTTATTTTAAATAATATTATAGTACTCGATGTTTTTAATGATATCAATATTTCCTCTTAAATAATATACCTGTACAAGGGTTAATTAAAAAAAAATTATAAATCTATATATCTGATTCCAAGTTATTCGTTGCTGGTCACATACACCAATGAAAACATCCCTTCATTGAACTTCTTACGAATATAATGATAACGAACATCTATATGTTTAGTTTGTTTATAAAATTCTGATTTTTCACCAATTTGATGGAACTATGATTGTCCTCATACAAAACAGGTGTCTCTCCTTGTGATTTCAGAAGATCACTTATTATTAGCGTTATCCAAGTTAGTTCCTGGACCGCTAGACTCAGTACCATGCATTCAGCCGGATTAGTTGGAAATGGTACCGATTTTTGTCTTTGTGAACACCATACTACTATTCCATTAGTCATCATGAAAACGTATTTTGATAGTGATCGCATAATTTTTGTATCACCAGAATAATCTGCATCACTATATAACCATGTAACTTAAGTTTCACTCTAGAATAAAAAATATAAACTATAGTTATGGGTTCCTTTTAAATATTTTAAAATACTTTTCACCGCATTCCAATGTATTTTTAGAGGTTTTTTTTAACTAGCGACTGACAATATTTACAATATATGTTATTTCAAGCCGTATGATTTGACTTAGATATAAAAAACTTCCTACCTCTTCTCTGTATGGAACTTCCCCTGCTTGTAATTATTCTGATAAATTTGTATCTAATGAGTGTTGTGGATCTACAGGAATACATAGGGTGCTGGCTTCACCCATATTGAATCTCACCAAAACCCATTGACAATATAACGACTGATATATAAATATTGACCAATCCAATCTCTGATCAATTTCTGTTCCCAGAAAATGATTAAGTTAACCTGCTTTCATCTCAAAGTTGCTCTTCAAGTATTTTACAATTAGGTCTACCTGTTCATCATTTGTTGCTGCTATTATTCCATCGTTTACAAAAATAGCCGCAATCATTAATTGTTCATTTTTATTACTTACAATTACACAGTGATCTGTCTTTATTTCTTTTTGATGCAAGTTTAACAAATTTTTAAATTTTTTATTCCTGCATCTGGGTGCTTGTTTCGATCCATAAAAGCTTCGTTGAAGTTTGGACTTGTTTAGTTTCATCTTCATATCCTTTTGCCTAGTTCATGTAAATCTCTTCTCCAAGGTCACCATATATAAAACTGTTTTTATATCAAATTGTCCGATATTTACTTTTGTGGCTGCTCCTATTGCTATTAATATTCGTATAGAGAGGCATACTTTACAACTGGACTAAAAGTTTCTTGAAAATAAATTCCATGTACTTGTTCATAACAATTTATTACTAGTCTGGCTTTAATCTATCAACTACTCTATTTTTCTTGAGTTTGGTTCAATATACCCAGCCATTTTTAAATACTTTTTTATTTGTTGATAAATTTACTAATTTCCACAATTCATTCTTTTTTTATGATAACATTTCTTTATCATTAACGTTATTTTCTTCACTTTTGAACACCGTTTCTGAATTTATTTCTCCATCTTTTTTTTCTAATTTCGATCTCTGTTTCCGTAGATTTTTTGAATATAAGGTCTCTGCTTAATAAAACTTTCCATCAAAACATAGGCAGTATCCTTTAGTTTCTTCTGAATACCCAACAAATATACCTTTTCTACTATTTTGATCTCATTTTTTATGTTTTTCTTTTGGTAAATGAACTTGCTAGGAGTTGTGTTGGGATGAATTAGACGACACGGATGGTTTTTTTTCCAGATGGCGTCGAGCCGTTTAATGAAAAACAAAAGAATACAAAGAATAATAACACTAAAACAAATGATAGAAAAACTGCGGTGTAATAACACTGAGGCGATTCTGACCGTTTGGTGAAAAACAAAACAAAATAGAGAACTGCGGTGGTGGTCCGGTTGCGTTGACGGAACNCAACAAATATACCTTTTCTACTATTTTGATCTCATTTTTTATGTTTTTCTTTTGGTAAATGAACTTGCTAGGAGTTGTGTTGGAATGAATTAGACGACACGGATGGTTTTTTTTCCAGATGGCGTCGAGCCGTTTAATGAAAAACAAAAAAATACAAAGAATAATAACACTAAAACAAATGATAGAAAAACTGCGGTGTAATAACACTGAGGCGATTCTGACCGTTTGGTGAAAAACAAAACAAAATAGAGAACTGCGGTGGTGGTCCGGTTGCGTTGACGGAACGGTGAAAAACCAACAGTATAGGTGTCACGAAGATGACTGACTACACGTATTATTGCGGCGGGGTATTCGACGCTAGGCATTTGTTGGACTTTACACCACGACGATAACGCGTGTGTATAACGGTCCGGTTTATAGTGAAGAGGGGGCTGAGAAGGAGCTGATACGACCGCGGAGTGTCAAACGTGTGACAACGCCNTAAAACAAATGATAGAAAAACTGCGGTGTAATAACACTGAGGCGATTCTGACCGTTTGGTGAAAAACAAAACAAAATAGAGAATTGCGGTGGTGGTCCGGTTGCGTTGACGGAATGGTGAAAAACCAACAGTATAGGTGTCACGAAGATGACTGACTACACGTATTATTGCGGCGGGGTATTCGACGCTAGGCATTTGTTGGACTTTACACCACGACGATAACGCGTGTGTATAACGGTCCGGTTTACAGTGAAGAGGGGGCTAAGAAGGAGCTGATACGACCGCGGAGTGTCAAACGTGTGACAACGCTGTGGCCGTGTCAAACTTCACCAATAAATACTCTAAAATTGCTTATATATTTTATTATACCATAATTCATAGGGCGTTTTTTCTTCGTAACCTAAATTTAACGTACAACTACATATACAGCTATATTTATCACTTTAGCCTAAAGATTTTTTAACAATTTTTTACTGTATAATATAGTTCTAGCTGCTTCTATTATTGTACGCATTGTTCGTTCCTCTTTATTATTTTTCTGTGGTGTATATAGTACGATGGTTTCATGTTTTATACCAAATTTATTCAAAATACTTTTGACTTTATTATTTTTATATTCCAAACCACAATCACTTAGTAAAGTAAAAACTGTTATATTTGACTGATTTTTCGCCGTATTTAAGAATAATTCAAACTTTTCTTTTAATTTATTTAATATTTAATTTAAGTTATTGAATATAACAAAATATTTTTTACCAACAAAAGAATTTTAATCCATGAGTCCACAAACATCACTTGTGAATTATCTGACCTGGTTTTGTTGTTTTGGTACTGTTCAGTGTAAATGGTTCTGTGTAGTTTACCATAAACGCAAGCTTCGCAAAAACATTTGTTTTCCGTTTCCGTGAATTGAATTCCTATATGCCTTAGTCAATTCTTATCAAATTTGATATTCTGATGACCTAGTTTTTCATGCTAATTTTGTAATGTAAGAATTTTGCTATATAAATAATAGAAATTTCTATCTCTTACGAAATCTTTGTTTTTAAAATCATCGAAAACAATTTATTCTCACGAATTCCAACAGCAACTGTACTATTTCCTCTTTTAAATGTACAAACATTGTCTGTTATCATTATTATACCTTTATCAAGGCATGCTCCACATGACAAAAAATATATTTTTAGCTTAGATTCATATAAAACATCTGACAAAAAACTGTCATCCCATTTTTCGTCAATTTTTGCTTGAACATATATATATATATATATATATAACATTACTTTATCATTAACGTTATTTTATTCACTTTCGAACACTGTTTCTGAATTTATTTCTCCATCTTTTTTTTCTAATTTGGATCTCTGTTTCCGTAGATTTTTTGAATATAACGTCTCTGTTAATTATATAATTTTAATAATTATAATTCTATATATATTATATATATTTATTCTAATTATAATTCTATATATATTTATTATAATTATAATTCTATATATATTATATATATTTATTTTAATTATAATTTTATATACTTTTACCAATAGCCATAATTTATTAACCTTCACCAATTAGCATTAAATTTCGAACGCCTTATAGGGTCTTAACCATTCTCTTCTACTGGTTCTATGATAACTTGCCCCGGAGTACACATACCATTTATCATAATCACTAATTTTGCTTATCACTGAATTATGGCCTAGTAGTGCATTTCAAGAATTGGATTCCATTTTATTCTTTCCGTTTTGTTCTTTTTACGAACCAGCAATCTCGTTTCCAATGATATGGTTTCTTACAAAAATTGCAATTTTCCTGTTTTTAATCATTATTTTATTAATTATCAGAGCAATTACTAAATGTTGAATATTTTTGTTTTTTTCTTTTATAAATGATTTTTTTTACCGCAATTGTACTATATTATCATTTTTCTGGATTTCATAGCCACTACTTTGTCTTGTTTCCACTACTATAAGTCGGGATGTTAAGTTTAATAATGTTTTGTCCTCTGATGATATAGAATATCAAACATATTAAAAATATTTATAATTTTCTGGCAGGTTATAAGAATTTTGGCTATAAACATTGATCGGATATTGGTTTACCTAACTGTTTTAATTGTTTATTTAAGTTTTCTAATTTTAATATATTTTGTGCCATATTATCATTTTTATCCATTACATAACTATAAAATTTTTGCTGAATCAATATAATTGATGTATCAGATTTTTTTTCATATTCACTCAGTAATTTATTCCACATACCTTTCGCTGTGTCGTAGTTCCTTATGTAGTCTAATGACTGCTCATCTACTTCTGTCATAACTATAAGACGTTGAGCCTCAGTATCTATCATTAGCCATTTTTTTGCGCTTGTTTTTAACGCAATTATGCCTCTGCGTCTGTTTATGCAACATGTTTTATTATTTGAGTTGGATATTCATAAATTTCATCTATTATAGAAAACAACACATCATATGATTTTAATATTACGTCTTTTGAAATATCATTTTTNATTAAAAATATTTATAATTTTCTGGCAGGTTATAAGAATTTTGGCTATAAACATTGATCGGATATTGGTTTACCTAACTGTTTTAATTGTTTATTTAAGTTTTCTAATTTTAATATATTTTGTGCCATATTATCATTTTTATCCATTACATAACTATAAAATTTTTGCTGAATCAATATAATTGATGTATCAGATTTTTTTTCATATTCACTCAGTAATTTATTCCACATACCTTTCGCTGTGTCGTAGTTCCTTATGTAGTCTAATGACTGCTCATCTACTTCTGTCATAACTATAAGACGTTGAGCCTCAGTATCTGTCATTAGCCATTTTTTTTGCACTTGTTCTTAACTCAATTATGCCTCTGCGTCTGTTTATGCAACATGTTTTATTATTTGAGTTGGATATTCATAAATTTCATCTATTACAGAAAACAACACATCATATGATTTTAATATTACGTCTTTTGAAATATCATTTTCCCCAATTATCGCTGCCGTTTAGTATGTAAATTTTTATAGATTCGTTTTCCATGATAACGAATTTCCTTTACACTGTCTGCA